GGTATTAGGGCCCAGCATCGTGGAGGCCTTTTGGCTGTTCATGCTCCGTGAAGTGGAAGTGAGGTATTGGGGTATTATATATATTATATTAATATATGTTCAGTCTCTTCCCATTATATCTAGCCCGCAATGTTCAGGTCCTTGCAAACCCACAATTCATCCCACCAACAAAAAAGGCACTGCCCTCACCATTCACCTCACATAAAAACTATCTAAAATGTGAATTTCCTCCGAATCATGCTTACCAAATCTAACCCTAACCCTAAACAAAAACCTGATTCCTAAGTTTGCAGAGGGTGGAAATTGAAATCCAGCACTGTCACTAAGCCTAACTTTTAATCTTATGCTGATACTATTTAAGAAACCTACACCCCAATACTCCAGTATAGAAATTCCAAGTCTAACACTCACCAGAATCCTAACACTAACTCTAAATGCAACCCTAACCCTAAGCTGAGCCTCAAGGAACTTCTTATATTCCTACATCATTTTTAACACTTAGGTCAAATTAACACAAACCCTCACTCTCAAGCACACACTACACTACACATTTAGTGAAATGGAAAACCTATTCCATCCCCTAAATCTAGCTCTAATCCTACTCGCTGGCAAATCATGATGCATTATATCCTGACCGCAATGTTCAAGTCCTTGAAAAACCACAGTACATAATACCTTAAAAATATCACTGTCCTTACTTTACCTCTCACATACAAATTAATTGGTGTGTGAATTCCTTCCGTATCATGCTCATCAATCCTAACCCTAACCATAAACCACAAGCGGATTCCTAAGTTCTCATAGAGTGGTACTTGAAATCCTAAACTGTGGCAAAGCCTAAGGCAATATCTCACTTAATCCTACTCGCTGGCAAATCATGATGCATTATATCCTGACCGCAATGTTCAAGTCCTTGAAAAACCACAGTACATAATACCTTAAAAATATCACTGTCCTTACTTTACCTCTCACATACAAATTAATTGGTGTGTGAATTCCTTCCGTATCATGCTCATCAATCCTAACCCTAACCATAAACCACAAGCGGATTCCTAAGTTCTCATAGAGTGGTACTTGAAATCCTAAACTGTGGCAAAGCCTAAGGCAATATCTCACGCTGATACTAACTAGGAAACCCACACCCCAATACCCAGGTAGAGAAATTCCAAGGCTATCACTCATAAGAATCCTAAGCCTCACCCTTACCCTAATCCTAGCCCTCCAAGAGGGACTTATATTCCAAATTTATTCCTAACACTGAAGGTCAAATTCACATCAAGCCCTCACCCTCAAACACACATTTCCTACACAGGGAGTAAAATGTTGAGCCTACTCTGTCCTCTAAAACTAGATTTCACCATACTAACTGGCCAGTGACTACAGATTATATCTAGGGTGTAATGTTCAACTCCTTGGAAACACACATTACATCCCAACTTCATACAAGGCACTACCCTCACCTTCCTTCTAACATTGAAACTATCTAGTACGTGATTTCCTCTTGTATCAAGTTCATTGATCCTAACCCTATCCGTAACCCACAAACTCATTTCTAAGTTTCCAAGGGGCGGTACTTGAACTCCTACACTGCCGCTAAGCCTAAAGTGATATCTCACGCTGATACTAACTAAGAAACCCTCACTGCCATACCCAGGTAGAGAAATTCCAAGGCTATCACTCACCTGAATCTGAACCTTAACCCTTAAGCTAACCCTAATCCAGATGCTCGAGGAGAGACTTATATTCCGACGTTATTCCTAACACTGAAGGTCCAAGAAACACCAACACTCACCCTCTCACACACATTACACTACACAGGGAGTGAAATGGACAGCCTATTCCATACCTTAAATTTAGCTCTAACCCTACTCGCTGGTGAGTCACTACCCATTATATCTAGCCTGCAATGTTCAGGTCCTTGGAAACACACATCACATCCCACCAACAAAAAAGGCACTTCCCTCACCTTCCCTCTCAAATGCAAACTATCTGGAATGTGAATTCCCTCCGTATTAGACTAACCAATCCTAACCCTCACACTAACCCACAACCTAATTCCTAAATTCCTACATGGCGGAATTTGAAATCCAGTTCTGTGGTTAAGCCTAAGGCGAAATCTCATGTTGATATGAACGAGGAAACCCACACCCCAACACCCTGTAGAGAAATCCCGAGGGTATCCCTCACCTGAATCCTAATCCTAACCCTAACCCTAACCCTGACCCTCGAGGAGAGACTTTTATTTCTACATCATTCCTAACACTGAACGTCAAATTAACACCAACAGTCACACTCAAACACACACTACACTACACAGGGAGTGAAATGGAATGAATATTACGTACCTTCAAACCAGCTCTAACCCTACTCCCTGGCCATTCACTGACCATTATATCTAGCTCCCAATGTTCAGGTCCTTGGGAAGACAAATTGCATCCCACCTAGGAAAAAGGCACTGAACTCACCTTCCCTGTCACATGCAAACTATCTGGAATATGAATTCCCTCCGTATCATGCTCACCAATCCTAACCCTAATCCTAACCATCCAGTTGTTTCCTAAATTCCCAAAAGGCAGTGCTTGAAATACACCACAGTGTCTAAGCTTAAGGCAAAATCTCAATGAGACATTACCTAGGAAACCCACACCGCAATACCCAAGTAGAGAAATTCCAAGTATATCCATCACCAGAATGCTGACTCTAACCCAAAACTTAACCCAGGCCCCCGCGAACGGACTTATATTCATACATCATTCGTAACACTGAAGGTCATATTAACACCAACACTCACCCTGAAACACACACTACACTATACACAGAGTGAAATGGGGGCCTATTCTGTATGCTAAATCTAGCTCTATCCCTACTTATTGGCCAGTCAGTACCCATTATATCTAGCCCACAATGTTCAGGTACTTGGAAACACACCTTACATCCCACCTACAAAAAAGACACTGATCTCATTTTCCATTTCACATGGAAACTATGTGGAATGTGAATTCCCTGTGCATCATGCTCACCAATCCTAACCCTAACCCTAAACCACAATGTGGTTCCTATTTTCCTACAGGGCAGTACTTGAAATCCTACACTGTGGCTTAGGGTAAGGTGATTGCTCATGCTGATACTAACTAGCAAATCCACACCACCATACTCAGGTATAGAAATTCAAGGATATGACTCACCAGAAGGCTGACCCTAACTCTAACCCTAACTCTTAACCTCGAGTAGGGACTTATATTCCTACATCATTCCTAACACTGAGGATCAAACTGACACCAACACTCAGCCTCAAACACACACTGCACTAAACAGGGAGTGAAATGGGGAGCCTATTCCACACCCTAATTCTAGTTCTAACCCTACTCGCCTGCAATTCACTACCCATTATATCCAACCCACAATATTCAAGTCCTTGGAAACCCACATTACATCTCACCTACAAAAGAGGCACTACCCTCACCTTCCCACTCATACGCAAACTATCTGAAATGTGGATTCCCTCCAT